CTAAAAATCACCTCTTAATTTTTCAACGGAGTAGCTCAACATAACCCAAGAAAGGCGAAGTCAACAATATTTATTGAATTTATTAAAAACTATAATTGTATTTATGTTTTTTAGGTTAAACTATACATCGAAAACAAAATTCCCAAACTATAGTCATTGATTGAACAATATTTAACATTAACTCATTTTTTATGCAATAGAGTATTTAATATACATCATATGATATTGAGGCTCATCAACCATCTTAGTCTGGAGCTCTATCTTCTTTAGCATAATAAAGAGTCCAAGATCTAGCAAGTACTTCATATAAGACTCTATCATTCTCATATATTTGAGCAATCTCTGGCACCGACGGGTTGTGTAAGATTGGCTCCACCAAAAATGAGCGAATTGATGGTATAATCCTCGATATAGTGTGAGTTGGAGTCCAGTCTCTCCGAATAATGTTAGGGAAGATGATACCACTTCGATTAATGTTGGGATGAAAAACTCTGGTAATGAAGTGGATTTCTGGAGGTTCAAAAGGGTAATCTGATGGAATGTCAATAGAAATGCGGAATACTCCTCCATCAAAAGGGGTTCTGAGAGGTCCAATAAAAGTTACTTCCAAATGAAGCAAGTCTTCACTTACTTCACGAATGGTAAATGATGTTTGAGGTTCCCTCCTCAAGCTATTTAACTCAAATTGAATCCTCCTAGATGCCATGGACAAAAAACTTCAACCTCAAGCACCACTGTAATTAAAAAAAAAGGATTAGATTATCTCACTGCTAGAGGTTTCTTACTATATGATATTCCTTGCCCACTCCTACTTTTTATTTTTACTTGATTGATTCTAATTCTAATACAAACATGCATATATAAAGGCAAGAGGAAAAATACAATAAATGAAATACATTGATGGAGAATTTCCTTAATGATAAGAGTATATTAATAAAAAAAAAAAATTAAGCAAATATGTTTTATAATGAACTTCACTTACCAAATATCTTCTTGTTTGCTTTATTTAAAAAATAAAAGTGCAAGTTTTTGTTGACGAAAGTACCCTATATGAGGGATAACCTCTTATATTTGTGAATTGCTCATTTGTCACATTAATTATTTGATGAATCAATATTTTGTTTCAAGTTATGCTAGTTTCTTTTATCTCCTGCGATTGGCTCATATTTGAACTTAGCTTGAGTTCAAATCAATGGGGACAATCCTTAAAAATGATGAAAGCATTAAGAGTAAAGATTGGGTGATCGACAATTACATTTGAAAGGGAAGTTTAGTTCTGTATGAGAGAATTTGGTGCAAGTGTTTATGAAACGATGATAATGTGTGCAAAAAAAGAAGTGTTTTTAGCAAGGCTGGAGTTATGTGTGGAAAGACCAACAACATCCTGGAAAGAAAATAAGTAGCTCATGATGACAATGATGGGGACAAGCATGGAAGGAGATTTTGATGGTCGCATGCAGAGGATAAGGGGACTTTGTGATAGGCAATGATCAAACTAGATTAATCCTATGGTGGGTAATTGCCCACAATTGAATTTGAATTTCTCTATAAATAATTAAAAAAATTTAATATTTTTATCTAATTTAGAATATTTAGTAATTTTGCCCCTGATGTAGTGGACCAATGCTGGTGGCATGTACAAGAGAAGAGGGAGTGCTAGGGTCAAGCACCA